AAAAGAAAAGAAAAGAAAAGAAAAGAAAAGAAAAGAAAAGAAAAGAAAAGAAAAGAAAAGAAAAGAAAAGAAAAGAAAAGAAAAGAAAAGAAAAATCCCCTACATTTTTCCCTGATTTTTTAACTGTCCCCCAGGCAATGCAGACAGTCCAGGGGCAGTTTGATTTTGGAAGAATAACCACAGGCTTGGGGAATGTGGTGCTGCTGTAGGGCCTTACAGAGGGGGGAGAGAAACCAAATTCTTTGGGTTTTGCCACTGCAAACACCATCCAAGAGTCAGGCAAGAGCAAAACCCTTTCATCAGGGAGCCAATATGAGGAATATTTGCAAACCAAACCCAGCGTAACGCCCTGCGTCCACTCCTTGTGTAACACCCTCTGGCTTTAAGTGTCTTATACAAGCCTTTACTCACTCAGCACTGAGCTGTGCCTAAGCTGGGATTGAGGGAGAATCCTATTTAGGAAAACACCCTTTGATGAAGGAAGCGTGAAGCAAAGAGGAATTTTTGCACGGATGTTTCCAAGTGTGACGGGCACAGCAGTGCCACGACCATCTCCATCCAGAAGGGCTCCTGGGGCATTGCAGACACCTCRGCATGAGAGGGGAGCCCTGATTCAGCCCTGAGCATCTCAGCTGGCTGTGGTTGAGGATTATGAGAGCTGTTTTGATCAGGGGAAAATTTCTGTTTTTAGCACAGGCGGCAATTAAAATAGCTCGCGAATCTCAACGCCTCGGGGAGCTGTCATAAAAGGAGGAAGAAAATCCATCTTCTGGACTCCCCTGCAGCCASAGATGAGCCTGGAGGGAGCAGAGGAGAGGAGAGCCTGAGGTTCACCTGGTGGAAAAGGACAAGCCGAGACCTCGAGCCGGATAGCGCCACTTTGATCCCGAGATGGCTGTGGAGGATCTCCGGGCTTCCAGCACCCCTTTCTCGCTCTCCTTTTCGGGCAGTGGCTTCCTGGCCCTGTACCAGGTTGGGGTGGTGCAGTCCCTGCTGGAGTTGGCTCCTGAACTCCTCAAGTCTGCCTGCAAGGTCTACGGCTCCTCGGCCGGGTCGCTCATCGCTGCCGCCGTCGTGTGCGGCGTCGGCCTCGGTAAGAAACCCACGGCCTCGAGTCCTTAGGGCAGTTTTGTTACAGAAACTTGGGGGCTTTTGTTCCACAAACCAGGGGCTTTTGTTCCAGAAAGCCAGGGTGATGCCTCGGGGTGCTGCTGGGGCTGGTGGAACTCTCCTCGCCCACCAGGCGTTACAGAAAGCTGAGGTGCTGCCCTGTTTGGCAGCTGGCGTGGCGCAGTTTTGGGCGGTGTGAGTTGAAAAAGMCGTTTCTTGCATTTCCCTGGCTTCTGGTGGGCAGATCCTGCAGGGGAGAATCTGGTTGTTCCTGTGTTCCACTGGGTCGTTTTCCTGCTCCTGCTGGAGGAGCAGATCTCCTGCCCTCCTGCTCAGAGGTCCAAGGGGTGCTGAGATGTGTCCCAAAGCCAACCCGTGCAGCCGTGGGGGTGGATTTGTCCATGTAAAGACCCTTTTTCCCTCTGGATCATGTTCTTTGGGATCTTTAGCTATGAGGGGCTGTCATACAGGTATCTCTAGGGCTGGCAGCTTTGTTTGCATGGCACTTTGGGTTATCCCACTCACCCTTCCCAGATGAAGGGAAGATTGCATTCCCATCTTTGGGTTCACCTTTCCCTGTGGCCAAAGCTCAGGGGTTCCTCAGCAGGATATTCCTGAAGGAACAGCACTCGCTGGTCCAGCCCAGGGCTGGGATCTCTAATTGCTGCTAAACGGGTTTTCCTCTGACCTTCTTTCAAGTGTGGGAACGGGCCCCTCTAGCAAGAACATCCTCCATGTGTAGAATTAATTCGGAGTGGTTAATCCACTTTTAATAATCACATCCTCCCATATTTCCAATTAGTGCCCATGTGTAAACAAGCGTACACAAGACTTAAGGCTCTGAAGGCTAATCCAAGCTCTCCTTTGAGCAATGGGGACATTTAGGATGAGCAGAGGRTTTTGGGGACCAAATAACGATGGAGAAAGCTGGGAGGGAACACACAGTTCCTGAAACCTCTGGTGGATGCTGGAACTGTTCTGCTGCAGCTAAAAATAATCCAAAACATCGGCAAATATGTTTAGACAAGGCAGAAAGGAACATTTCTGCCCACGTGGGGATGAACTCCTCCACAAATAAGCAAGGGCCCCAAATTTTCTGATTCCTCCTGTTGCTGTACTGGGCGGAGCTGGAGCTGTCCAGCAATTGAAATTTGGTTACATTTGGTAACTGCTCTTGCTGCGGGCACCAGTCCTGAACTGGACATCTGCTTCCCTGGGGTGGAAGGCATCATCTGCTCAGAGAGGCTGAGGTGATCTTGTGCCCAAAATATCTTCCTCGGAGGAAGAAAAGACGTTTTGGATAATGATGGCTCTGAYTGGGTTTCTAACACGGAAAATGAATGTGACGCAAATTCTGTCATATTCACACTGGGGACGATAGGGGCAAAAAGAAGGTGATAGATGTGTTTGGGGTGGCTGCAGTCAGGTGCCTGTCCTGGCCCCGGCTGGGTGAGGAGCTGGGAGCTCCCTGAGCCAGGCTGTCCTCTGTGACCCCRGYGGTCACCTCGTGGGGACACRATTGTCACCAGCTGCTGCAGGCAGGGACAGTCCCACTGCTGCCAGGGTCATACCTGACCCCTCCAAGTCAAAACCCCATCCAGAGCCAGAGCCCCCCCAAGCTGGACTCGGCTCTCACCTCCTCCCCAGCAGTTTTTCCAGGTTTCCAGGACACAGAGCAGCCAGACAGTGCCCTGGGGATGCCCCACCTCCCTGGGGTGTGCCCGGCTCTTTCGGCATCCCCGCAGACCCCGTGTAAACCCGCCTGGCATTAATCGTGGCCCCACACGGCCTCGGCATCCGTTCAAACACTCGTAACCCCTCTTAATGCTTGTGTTGCTCCAGTTGCCTTCGGGACACYGCACCTAATCCGTCTGTCTGTCCGCACAATCCCATGAGATGGCACGGAAACCTCTGCCCCTCCAAAGCCGTGGTCTGAGCCAGCCCCGTGGCCTCAGGCTGGTGCAGGGTCCCAGGAGCCCACCCGGGTGMCAGGACAGCTCTTGGCAGCTCTTCAGAGCTGGATGAGCTTTCACTGCAAGAGTTTAATCCCCTCCAGGTGGGAGATTCCCCCAGGTCAGCTCCCCACGTCAGCAAAGGGACCAAATTCCCTCCACGGGATATGGCTGCCCACGGGGTTCGCTGCTCTCCTGTTCCTCTCCATCACCACAGAACCTGCAAAACCCAGAGTCTCCCAAGCCCTTGGCCGGGGCTCTGCTCCTTTAATCCAGCTCCATGTGCAGACTGACACATGTCATGGCTAACACCACCCCAGAGGTCACCTGAGGTGCTTGGGTCAGCCGGAATCCCAGCAACGTGGAGCCAGGACAGGCGGCCTCAGGAGATTCCTGAGCAGAGCAGGTGGCCCTGGTCCTCAGCTGGGAGCCATCCCAGATCCCTGTAGATTCTGGGGCTGCCCACGTGGAGAACCGGAGGTGGAGGCAGGAATGTGATGTGCAAGTCACATTGGCCTGGATAATTCAGTGCCTGTACCCGTGTCCCCCTTCCTGGGGCTCTCGGGAGCCTTTCCCCGATCCCCACCAGGAACACTTTGAGGACTCACCTCTGGCACAGACCAGTATTTCACCAGTGGGGTCACACAACCATACAATGTCCTTTGAGGACGTTATGGGGGTGATCCACCCCCCTCTTACCTGCCACAACATCCCTCCTTGTAGCAGCAGTGTCATGTTGGGGTCACACAGAGGGGCTGCAAGGAGCTTTATCTGTGAGCATGTTAAAAATAGGATTAAAAATAGAACCGTTAGTGCAGCAGGGTTATTGACATTGTCTCCATCTTTCCCCCTGCCTCTCTTTCAGATGACCTAAAGGAGTTTTTCTTTGCACTGGCAACGGAAGTCAGGAAAACCATCCTGGGCCCCCTCTCTCCCAAGTGCAGCTTGCTGGCCAAACTCAAGACTGTCCTGCAGCGGATGCTGCCCGAGGATTCCTACCTGCTGGCCTCGGGGMGGCTGCACATCTCGCTCACCAGGGTGGTGGATGGTCAGAATGTCATGGCCTCGGAGTTCAGCTCCAAGGAGGAGCTCATCCAGGTACGGAGCCCTTCCTCTGATGCTGTGGGAACACTGTTTTCTACTCGAGATGAGGACAATGTCAGGAGCTGTGGTCCCACCACTACGAGCTCTATGAGCTTCGAGGGAGGGAGGAAGGTGTGAGCTCCAGGGTCAGAGGGAACAAACTGAGCTAAAAGAGCAGCAGGTTTGTTTCCAGCCTCACGCAGCCAATGCTGGGGCTCTAATAATGACTCTTTGCAAAGTCAGCCAGCGCTGATGGGACCTCTCAGCTCTCCCCACAGGTCTCTCCTCAGCCAAGCCCCTCTGGCTGTGATTTTCCTGGTTGCCTCAGCACTTTCCTGGGAAGGAAGAGCTGGACAAAGCTGCTGCCAAGCAACAAGCAGCTCATTAACGAGTAAATTATCTGCTGGGGGTAGAATCTCGAGCAGAGCCGACTGGGTCCCTTGTCCCAGGGAGAGAGTAGAGGATGGCARCTCCATGGAGATGTTGGAGTTCACCCCATGGTGCGTCCTCTAGGTGACCCAGGAGCCTGGGAYGTTCATTCCCTGCTGATGAGATTGGTTGCAAACGCCCCAGCAGCGGCTTTACCACTGACAAATTCCAGCAGGGCCAGAATGCCTTGTGAGAGTATCTTGGTTTTGTCCAAAAGCCCGCAAAGATGGAAATTGGCCCCAAAGTTTCACCAAAGGGCAGTGTCAGACAGTGATATGTAGATTTATACSTATGAATTCGGGCAGCTATAAAATTACAAAATGCAGTGTTGTGCCCTGCTCCAGAGAAGGGTTTCCAMTTTAATGAAATGAGATGTTGTCCCCTTCTCAAAGCCTTTCTTGCCACAGTCCAGAGCAAAGTCCAGGTGGCACCAACAGCTTGGCTCCAGACTTCATCAAAGCTGGATTTTCAGGCACCAMGTCAACAGCTTTAGTCCAGAAGAAATTTGACAGGAACACTGACTTCTGCAATCCCTCTCCTCTCCAGGCTCTTCTCTGCAGCTGCTTTCTTCCTATTTACTGTGGATTCATCCCTCCATCCTACCGAGGAGTGGTGAGTGATATTTCCTCTAAAACAGGCTCCCAGCAGGGTTTGAACTTTACATTCCTCGGAGCAGGGAGGGTTAGACATGTCCAGGCTTTTTTTTTTTTCGTTGATGGAGGATGATAAAGCCTTTTAGCTTGTTCTTCACCCATCCTAAGATGATAGCTGGGTGGCATTGCCATCTGGAGAGCCCTCTCCTGCTTTGCCCATGGACTGAGCGTGGATAACCAAACCCAGCCTTGCTGATATCTGAGTGAGATGAGGGAACACCCACAGTGGGGACCTTGAGACACCCTCCAGTGATCCCAGGCAGGGTCTGTCTGCAGCACAGGCTGGTCCCTGGGCTCAGGTGCTGATTACTATGGTTCAGATACTGGGAGTTTGTGGGAGGATCCTCTCCCAGCCCAGAGTGTTTCCCTGCTCTGTGCTTGTCTGAGGGAAGGAGGAGTTCAGCGGTGTTTGCCAGTRCAGCCACTCCCAGGGCTGGGACAGGCACAGCTTCTCTGGTTTGGGTTAAAAAGGACCTTAAAGCCCATCCCATCCCACCCCAGCCATGGCAGGGACACCTTCCACTGTCCCAGGGTGCTCCCCGTCCAACCTGGCCTTGGACACTTCCAGGGATCCAGGGGCAGCCACAGCTTCTCTGAGCACCCTGTGCCAGGGCCTGCCTCAACATCTATCCCTAATGGAAGTGGGAAGCCATTGCCCCATGTCCTGTCACTCCATCCCTTGTCCAAAGTCCCTCTGCAGCCCCCTTGGAGGCCCTTTAAGCATTGGAAGCGGGTCCAGGACCCTTGGAAGTGWTGCAGGATGGGGTTTGGAACACACTGGGACAGTGGAAGGTGTCCCTGCCCATGGCAGGGGGTGGAGCAGGATGACCTTTAAGGTCCCTTCCTCCCCATCCCATACTGGAATCTGTGATTGCCGTGCAAGACCCCTCGCTTGAACATTTAATTGCATCAGCTGCAACTTCCAATCCCACTGAGGTGGGTGGTAAATCAAGATTGCTTTTGGAATACAGCAATGGACATTTTCCTTGTCCATTGTGTAATCCCCCAGGGATCTGCAGGGAATTATTAAATGTGGGGCTCCTACCAATTGAGCTCAGGACTCAAAAGTTGTACAACACTGTGCATTTGGTGATGTCTCAATTGGCTCTTGACTGCCAAAAACTGTTGTACAAAGCTTTGTGAAGGAAAATAATCACATTTCCCGTTCTATAACTGCTGTGGATTGCAGCACCTGGTCAAGGGGTTGGCTGGGTGCCACAGGCAGGGCAGGGGAAGGAGATGGCAAAGAGATGAAGAGCACGGGTGGGAAGAGACRCTGTTGGAARGGGGAAAGGAGGACAAGCTGGGACMGASTCRTGGCAGGAGTGTCACCAGTGCAGCTGCTGCTTCCCAGCCTGGTGACACTGCAAAGGTCCCAAAGCAAACCCTCCCTCTGCTCTCYCCCAGCGCTACGTGGAYGGAGGCTTCACGGGCCTGCAGCCRGTGTCCAGCCTGGAGGAGCCCGTGATCACCGTGTCCCCRTTCACCGGCGAGCTGGACATCTGTCCCCGGGACTGCCCCGCCATCTTCTTCTGCTTCCAGATCTTCAACGGCAGCATCCAGATCTCCATTGAGAACCTGTGCAGGATCAGCTACGCTCTCTTCCCGCCCAGCACCATGGTGAGCCCCCCAGGACTTCTCCCAGCTTAGTTCTGCCTAAAATAAATTAATKCTGCCCCTGCCTTCTCAAGATGAAAGGTTGAGCTCAATCTCTGCTATTAATTAATGGAATTTCAAAGGGGACAGCACCCACTGCTTCTGCAGTACATTTTTGGGGTGGGGGGGGGGGGCATTGCTGATGGGTGGTCACAGCCTGCAAASGACCAGATGAAAACAGATGATCCCTAAGGTCCATTCCAATCCAAAGCATTCTGTGTTTCTCTGACTGGGACTATGGTGGATGGAAACCAACCAGAGCTTGCTGCCCTCCCAAATGGGCCACCCCAACCCTCCACAGAYAAACAGCTTAGAACAGATCCTGTAGGGCCGGGATTGGGGCTATTCAGTKACCTCAAATGTTTTTCTTTGCAGGTTTTGAACGACATTTTCTCCCAGGGGTACCAGGACACTGCCCTTTTCCTGTACAGGAACAGTAAGTGGCACCCCAAGACCCGAGGGGCACCTCYRGGTGTGAYAYACACAAACRTCACCTCTTTCTCTCCRTGTCTCCCAGATGCCTTTGGCTTTAAYTACTTCGATGGCAATTTCCGCTTCGGCAGCACCTGTGGGAAGAATGATTCTGGACAATCCAATGGGGCACACCCCGGCCTGTACAAAAGGGTYCCTCAGTGCCTGACCCCTTACTTCCTGCCAGGTGAGGATTTGTGGGGTTCAGCTTGGGTTCGGAGCTGCTGCAGCCTTCAAGAGGAGCAATGYTATATTTAAGATACCATTGAGTCATTTATTACAGTAAATATTTCTGTCAGGAAGAGACTTTGCAAGAGTAGCTCAAGCTGGACTCTGACCTGAGCTTCAGTACYTACCTGAGGATGACAAGAAGAATTATTGCATTCATTTCATTGTTTCTAATTACTGATCTTTATTTTCTTCTGTGCTGTCATTCCTGGCTGCAGGCTTGTGGAAGAAGGAGCAGGTGAACGGGCTGCAGGACCCACTGGCGAAGGTGCTGCTGCAGCCCTACAGGCTCCCAGCTTTATTCAGGAAGGGGTAAGAACATCCCAGCAGAGGCATCAGGGAATGACACACAAACCAGGGGGTGTGGTGGGGCAGCTGAAGGGATTCGGTGTTCTCTGAAGATCCAAGGGAGAGCCAGAATGGCTTGCAGGAACACCATAGGATCACCTGGTTATGGGAAAAATGATTACTGTGAGCATTTACCATGGACACCCTCCCYTTCTGCTGCCTTTACCCATCACTAAACTCAGCCCCCTGTTTGCCTTTGCAGGGTGAAGAAAGTGTGGGGGCTGCTGGAAGGTGTCAGCTCCCTGCTACAGCGAATCCACAAGTTCCTCCAAATTTTGGTGCCTGGTTTGACGAAGAGAGCTGGGGACAGGAGGTGAGGGGCTGGGGGATGCAGACCCTCGGTGGATGGAGTGCAGGGGGCAGAGCAGGGAAACCTTTGGGAGCCTCACCCGTGGGTGACTGATGCTGAGCRTGGCTAAAATCTCCAAATCTGGAGAAGCTCACATTAAAAATAGCTATTTTTTTCCCTCCTGTGATATAATTTTGATATCTCAAAGGAGCTACAAACCAGCTTAGTACCACTTCCCTACTGCAATACAATAATGTTGTAGATTTTTATCTGCTGGGCTCTGGCCTCACACACATTCACCAAGATCCTGAGAGATGTTCTGGCACAAAGCTCTCAAGGATTTAAGGCACTGAACYTGTCACACTGCTTTTAATCTGTATCTCCCCAAAACCTGCTTGTGAGTTCATGCCTGTGCAGCTGCCTAAGAGATCAAAGGGATTTCACCCTGAGGCAGCTGCAAACTTTTCAGCTGTGAGAAAGCCCTTTGGAGTCAAACATTCCTGGGGCTGCTCATCCCTGTCAGTCCATCGAGCCTGACTCAGCTCTCACCTTGTCCCCACAGGTAACAAGGATCATCCTGCATGGGCCCTGGGGGTCTCCAGCTCTGTCTCAGGATGTGGTGAGCATCACCAGMACGCACCAACATGGCTGATGGTTCTCAAAGGAGTTTTTGGGGAGTATTTTCTTCAGAACCTGCCTGGTTGTGTCTCCAGTGYTGCCACTGCAGTGCCCCTGCTCAGGCTGGACCTGCTTTTCCACGATGGCCAAGGCAAAGCTCTGGGGCTGCTCCTGGGACCCACCCCAGGCTGTAGGGGCCACCTCAGCCCAGTCCTTTCCCTRCCCAGTCCATCTCCTCCCCAACAGCAGCATTCCTTCCCTGATTTAATGCAGATTACAGGTTGGGCATTTACCAGAAAATGCCATATTTATGTGTTTTCCTCCTACTCAAAAACTTTCAGAGAGATTCCTGAGACAAAGAGAGAGAGAGAGGGAGAAAGGGAGGGAAACCTTAAGGAGCATCACACTGGGCAGGAATTAATTTTTGTCCAGTTCCCTGAAGTTTTTTTTACTGATTATCAATTCTTGAGCCTCACAACCCCCATAGCTCTGCATGATTGAGGGGGCACTCCCACCCCCAGCCTGTGGAGGTGGGATTGCATTTGGATCCCCCTGGAAATTGCAGCTGCGGAGAAGGATGGAGAAACCTAAAGATTAACTTCCTCCTACTTCAGAGTCCTGCAGGCTGCATTTCCTGACATTTCACAAATAATTGAGTTCTCCTGCCATTGTCTGTAAGTCAGGGCCACACACAGAGCATGGCCCARGMAAACACACCCTGTGCTGCTGGTCTGTACACAGAATTAAGCGGCAGCACTCTGAATTTTCCCAAATTTGTGTTGCACATCAGAGGCTGAAGGATTGGCTCTGCCCCAAGTGTGTCTGGTTGGTTCCCGACAGGCAGCAAATGGATCCCAACAGCACCAGCTGTTTATTGGAGTAAACAGCCTGTTTAATTGCACAAAAGGAAAGGGAACAGAGGGAAATTTCATCCAAAGAGTCCTGGAGACTGCAGGAATGAATGTGGGGAGTAGATGAAGGCAGCTTTGATGTAACCAGACTCAGAGTTAGCGATGAATGCTCTGTGAAAGATCAGTATCCTGTGTTCTGCCATCTCTGGTTGAAGTCAGTGACCTGGAAATATTTTCTCTGGCACAAGTTTACTAAAAGAAACCTGGATGGTTATTTCCTAGTCCCAACTTTCTCACAGAATGGTTTGGGTTAAAAAGGATCTTAAAGATCACCCAGACTCACCCCCTGCCATTGGCAGTAACATCTTCCACTATCACAGATTGTCCCAAGCTCTGCCCARCCTGGYCTTGGACRCTTCCAGGGATCCAGGGGCAGCCAYAGCTTCTCTGGGCASCCTGTGCCAGGGCCTTCCCATCCTCACAGGGAASRATTTCTTGCCAATGTCCTGTCTAACCCTGCCCTCTGGAGCCATTCCAACTCATCCTGTCACTCCAGTTCCTGATGAGCAGTCCCTCTCCAGCTTCCCTGCAGCCTCTTCAGATCTTAGAAGTAGTTCAAGTCTCCACAAAACCTTCTCCAGGCTGAACTTTCTCAGCCTATCTTTATAGGGAAGATGCTCCAGTCCCCTTATAATTTTCTGGCCCATTTTGATGGATCCCATTTGCATTGGATCCTGCCTGCTCCTGTCTTTGATCCACCCAGGATTGATTTACATCTCTCAACCACTGCAGCTAAAGCCAGGCTGCTCAAATCCAGCTGTTCCTGCCACAGGGCAAAGTCAAAGGCTCACAGACACCCACCCCTCCCCAGGCAGGGACAATCAAACCATTATTTGCTTTTGTACCTCTGCTCCCTCCCACTTACCCAACAGCTCTTTTTCCAGGCTCCTGCAAGCACCATGCCCACTTCCAGGAAGGATTTTACCATTTCAGACAGCCTGAGGAAGTTACCCTGCTGAAATTTGGATTAAAATACCCCCAAGAAAATTCTTATCTAGGAATTGGACTTCCAAATCCATTAAATTTGCATGAAGTTTGCATCTGCAAACTTCAGCCACAAATAGGAGCATAGCTTAAACTGCCCAGGGCATCTCACATGCCCCATGTGGTGCTTGATCACAAAAAAAAAAATGAGTAAAACTTTGAGAGCTTTAACAAAAAAACAGCCTGCAAGGAATCCTCAAACTAAAATGTCTCAGCACAGAACCCTCCAGCTCCAAACCTGCAGGAATGAGTAAGAAATAAGTATTTAATGACTCAATATTCAAATCAGCTGGGTTTTGCTTTATTAATCCCTCATCTGTTCAGGCAAGCAGAGCTGGTGTTGTCTCCTCTCATGAGGAGCTTGGGGCTAATGGCAACAGGAAGCTTTGCCAGAGGGAATGGATAGAGGCAAAGTTTGGCATTGATTGGAATCACCTTGTGCAGGAGTTTGTTTCACCCCAAGGAAGCACAGTGGGAACCCCAGGTGCACCCAGATGGGATAGAACCAGCCTGAAATTTCTCTCCAGGGGTGGGAATCACCCAAGGGCTGGGACAGAGATAGAAGGGSCTGTGAAATTGTTGTCACAGTCCGTGTGCTCCTCGGGGCAGGTCAGGCTCTGTTCCAAGTTGATCATTGCCTCTTTAAAACATAAACTGGGGCCAAAGGCAGCAGCAGGGTCACAAATGCTCTTCTGTGGCTGGCCTCRCCCTAAAGGGAATAAAACCATGTTGGTCAGTCTGACAGACACCTCTGGCAGTTCATGTGGGACAAACTGAATTCAAATGCCTGGGCAGAGCTGCTTCCCTTCCTCCTGTTGTCTAAAAGGCAGCAGGTTTTGGTATCCTTAAAATGCCACCCTTGTACCCTTGTCCTGTTGCTTGTCTCGTTCTGCTTTGAACTCAGCAGAAACGTGAAGCCTGAAGGAAGGGAAGAGAGTTTGGACACAACCCAAGACAGCAGGAGCTCCCTCTGGAGCTGGATCCCACTGCAGGTCTAGGGGAGGAGTCTGACCCATGCAACCGAGCCCAGCAAAGCCAAACACGTGCCCAGTCGTGCCTGTGGACCCAGCTCTTGGCTGCAGGTGCTCTGTGCCAGTCTCTGCTTCCAGTCTAGGCACTAAGGAGGGTGCAATTCCTTGTGCAATTGTCCTGCTGGGCACATGGAGAATAAACAAATCSGTTTGGATAACCTGCTAATCCAGCCCCAGCCTCATGGGATTGCAAGCTCCAGACACTTGTTCTTTGGAMATAACACTTGTTCAAGAAATCAGGTACAAGTTGTTCACAAGTTTCTCCCCCTGCTGCTTTGGTAGCATTGATGATATTCTAGTTTTGCACAGATAAACACTGAAATAGTGTTTTCCTGGCCTTGATCAGCAGGCCTTTTCCTCCCCAGAACTGGAAAATCTGATGTGCTTCTCCTCAGGAGACTGAGACCCTGGACTCACCCCTTGGCTCTCTGGCCTAACAAATGTTAGGCTCTCTGTTAGGCTCTCTGGCCTAACAAATGAGCCCTGATGCCTCCAATAGGAGGAAATTTTCACCTGGGGCAGGTGAAAAATGTTGCAGCCCAGCTGCAAACCAGAGACAGCGATTCCTGATAGCCCAGAGCTGCCCAACATCCAAAGAAACCTTGATCCTACTGTGTGACTTCCAAAAGCTCCAAGTAGCTCAGACTGATGGAGCTTTTACAAAAACAATCAGGGAAGCGACTTGTACAGCCTAGCACTGTGTCCTGCATTTCTTAGTGGGTCTAGAGTTGGTTTGTTTTCAATGRAAATATCTTCCTTGCTTCCATTTTATGTTTTCCAAACTTTTCTTTTTAGATCTGGAAAGGTAACAATCCTATTCTTTCCCCTTTATATTCCTCATTTGGTGTGGGCCTCCTAGATATAGCAGAWYAATAKTTGGRTCTTTTTTYCACTTTTTATGYAATTTATGTGGCTACATTTTAATTAATTATCATGTTGAAAGAGCTGTGTAATTTTTCCTAAGCTGATAATTTCTGAGACATTGAAAGACTCAGAAAGAAAAAGAAAATAAAGAATAAAATTGAAAGAAACATTGCATTTCATCAGATGTTTCTTTGTATTTTCTGGTAACAATGAACTGGAAACTGAGATACTAAGGACTCATGGTTTTCCATGCAAAACTAAAATGGGAAAGGGCATTATTTTGCATAGGATTGCAGAAAACTACAGAGTTTGGATTTAAACCAGCCTTGTGTTGCTTTAAAATGACACAAGTAGAGGTTTACCTGCAGCTCTAACATRCTTTCCTTGCATTAAGTATTTCTGTGGCTGCAGCCAGAGTTCCTAAGGAGAAGGTACCTTGAACCCTTGAGACACCCCTGATGAAGGGATGTGTGGGCAGAACCTGTTATTACCTCACAAAGTGAGAAAATACATGGCTTTCCCCATGGAAAGATCTCCTTTTTCACAGAGTCCTTCTGACCCAGCCACAAATGAAGGCTCAATCCCCACCCAAATCGAGGGTGACAGTTCTGTGGGAGGTGTCACTAGTGACCCCTGACCCAAGCGGGGACTTTCTCCCATTCCTGATGTTCTCACCTGCCCYAGAGCCTCTTTGAGCACAGACAGCCCTGGGCAAGTGTCACTTGAAAACTGATGGGGTAAAGAAAGAGCTGGTTCTTTACCTTCCTGGGGTTTGAGAAGGTGGTGGGGGGCTTCCTATTCCTCATTATGCACTGCCTGGCTGATCCGTGGGTTCTCTTTGGCGTCATCCTCATGATCCATGGCTCTGGAGTGAGGAACTGTCAGTTGTGGCTTCAGGTGCAGGGCCTCTTCACCATTTTGATATGATTCATTGGCCAAGGAAAGCGTGAAACCCTCAAAGTAATTCACCTGGACTTCACCTGGTGGAAGAGAATCCAGCTCTCACTGCTTGTTGCTCAACTTCCAGGTCTGCTGGCTGGCAAACAGGGATCCCCAGGGCTCAGGGATCACCAAACATTGCTGCTTTRTGCATCAGGGTTTATCAAACACCACACAGGGCACCTGAGCCTGCACTTCTGTCCTGGGACATGTGTTCCCTGGGACAAAGCTCTGCCATGCCCAGGGTGGCAGAGAAAAGGGAATTGTGGCTCCAGAGGAAGAGGCCAGAACTCAAGTAATCCCCAGGAATATAAGCATTTCTCTGCCCCACTCACTCTGGGGCAGCTTTTCTTACCTTGTACCAGCAAAGCACCGATGTGAGGGAAGCACCCAACCTACCTGTCCTCACTCCCAGTCACTTACTGAGTCTYTTTAAGAAGGAGATCGTGTCCTGGTAGCCATCGATAAAAAAGCGGTCCATGGCCTGTGGGGGGAGGTGGCAGTCAGGGCAGCTGGGCAGCTGCAGGGACTCATGGCTCTGGGTACCTGGAAGAGTGGCTCACTTGAAATGTGGGAAACTGAAAAATGTGCAGYAAGCGGCGGATATTCAATTTTGAGATCTGCAAGATAGAATCAGAGAGCTGGAAGGYCAAGAAGGCAGCTGGGCCATCCTTGGGGCAGATGTCGTACTCGCCGGCGAAGGCGGAGATKGTGATGGTGCGGCGGGACACGAAGTCGGCTGTCCACATGGCCAGCTCTCCATCCACGTAGCGCTRGGAGAGAAAACAGGGAGCCCTGAGCCTTGCCCCTGGCACAGAGAGCAGTGCTGTTCACACGGGCAAACATCTGGGGTTTGTTCCCCACCCAGGCCCCACAAGACTGAAATTCTGCAGCTCCAGAGATCCCCWTCCCACCCATGGCTCCATGCCCGCCCTCCTCCCTTCCAGCAGAAACATTACTGTAATGAAACTGGGAGGAAAGAGCAGCAGAAGGGAGTTGAGGCAACCCCAGGGACAAGGGGAGGATGGATAATTTTGTGAGAAGCTCAGTTCTGTCTGCAGTGAGGTCAGGGTGCTGTTCTTCCCTCTGCAGACAYTGTGGGAACACAGCCTTGAGCTACTTTGGTGGCAAACACAGGTACAAATGTCCTTAAAGCCACCACTGGAGAAAGGACAGAGCCTGGAGGGACCCTGGGCTTGAACTGGGAGAGGGTCTCCAGACCACAAGKCTACTCACCACCCCACGGTACTTGGGAGGGGAAATTCCAAAATACAAGGGGATGAAGCAGCTGCACGTCAGGGCCTGTGGGTGAAATAGGAAGAACAGAGATGAAGGCAGAGCTACAGAAACTGCTGCCTTTGGGAGTGGTGGCTCGTCTGTGAATGCCAAACCAGTGCTCCCAGGTGGGTTATTGGGCACCACTGACTGCTGCACACCACACTGTGTCTGATACCCACAGTGAGGGCAGAGAAGTAGGAAGGGAACCTGTGAAATGCCTCAATTTGCTCCCTGCACGCTCAAAATAACTCCGCCAGCAAGCAAAGGGGCTGATTTTTAAAAATTGTTTCAGCTTGTCTGGATTCAGAGGGTGGCAAGGACACAAATCATGGCATGGATTGCAATGGACCAAGGCCTGCTAGGATAAGACAGGGAGTGGTGTTTTTTAACTAAAAGGGGGAGATTTAGATATTGGGAAGAAATTTTTACCATGAGGGTGGGGAGACCCKGGCACAGGTTGCCCAGAGAAGCTGTGGCTGCCCCAGCCCTGGAGGTGTCTGGATGGGGTTTGGAGCACCCTGGGATAGTGGAAGGTGTCCCTGCCCGTGTCAGGGGGTGGAATGAGATGAGCTTTAAGCTCCCTTCCAACCCAAACCTGCCTGGGATTTTGTGCTGTGGGACATGGCCAGGCAGCAAATCTCACATWGTTCCTCCCTCATGGGGTGGCTGTGGCAGCTCCCACCTGGATCAGCTCCTCTTTGGTGTCAAACTCGGACACTGTCACTGTTCTCCAGTCGTGCAGGCGGGTGAGGACAACTTGCAGCTTTCCAGACACCAGCTCATGGGCATTTGGAGGCAGGAATTTGCGTAAGGCTTTCCTTAGGAGCCGAAGCACTCCTCCTCCAGGGGCTAACCCCAGAAAAGAGATTTTCAGTCTACTGAAGACATAGYTCTTGATCTCATCTGAAGCAAAGCAAAGCAAAGCAATCATTCTACATCCCTCATGTTGTTATTTAGGTACTATTATGTGTTATTTATATACTTTCTGAGCTGCACTTCCACTTGGGAAAGGGATATCTTACCCTGCTGCTAAATGGTCATTTAGAGTCATTGTTTTCATTAGGGATGAAGCTCTCATGAGTGGACCCAAATTTTCCAAGGACTTTCAATATTGCAGGAGGCAGAACCATTTTTTTTCTTTTCCCATTTCTCTGCATTTTCTCCACAAGGCATCTTAAAAAGTTTTAGACATCTGGGAGAAAACTGACAGGAAGACTTTGCATAACATTTCTTTCTTTTAGCTCTGCATCTACGCTGTATTAAAGTCTTTTCTTTCCCCTCTTTGTTTTGGGAATCTACCAACAATCCCAAATGCATTATTAGGGAGAGCACTTCTGATTCTTTTATTTTATATRCTTGCCATTAATTCAGGTTAATAAGACCCAATGACTATATCTACTCTGTTTTCTCTGTGCTACTTAATTTACCCACGTTTCCCAGTCTGCAAGAAGCAGTAAAAATCTGAGGAATTAACCACTGATATTGAAACAAAAATCTTGTGCAACTCCCKAATTCCCAGATATTCCATTTCTTTAGACACAAAACAAACAGAAATGTGTAGTCCTTACCCACATCACATCCACACAGTCCAGCTGTAGCTACAACAGATCCYGAAGATGAGCCATAGATCGTGTGTGCAGATTTCATTATGTCAGGAGACAAGTCCTGCAAAGCAGATAACACTCCAGCTTCGTATACGATCATGAAACTGCAGCCTCTAAACAGCATAGAGTAAGGTCTTCCCTTTTCTCCACTTATTCTCAGCATCTCTGCTAACTCCAAGCACTCCAACCACAAGAAAACAGCTGCCCAACAGCTTCAATGGGCTTTCCAGAGCCAGCCAACCCTCAGTTGTGGTTCTCTTTCCAATCACACTCTCACTGTCTTATATCCCTCTGTTTGCCATAAATCTCTGAGCCAAACATCCAGTGAAACAGCAGCAGTGGGCAGAAGTGGATGATTTGATGTCTTAATCCTCATTAAAATAAGATTACTGCATTGCAGGGTGTCTGAGGTGAGCACTGAGCTGCCGGGCAGCCCCAGGTGATGGGGACAACCACAAGTGACAAAGATAGATTGGAGGAGCAGCACAGGGGAGTGGCCAGTGGGCCCCAAACCTGAGTAATTGGGAGAGAAAAGCTACTTCCCAAAGTGGTAACTGCTTCAAGAATACCCTGGGGCTCCAGCACAAAATTCCAGCCTCTTGGGCACAGGAATCAGCAAATATTCCCTGGTACAAAAGTGTCTTGCAAAACTCTTTTGCCCCATTTGCAACTGGTTGCCAAACCCCATTCCAGGGAGTGGAGAAGCTGGCTGGATTACTAAAGAAATCACATCAGAATTTGGAGAAGGTGATTGGGTTACTAAAGAAATCACAACACAGGTTGTTTTTCTTGTTTCACAATTTCAGGGCCTGAGTTTGCTTACAAAAGGGTAAAAATACAGAGTCCAGGTAACAACCCATGGCTTTGCCTGCCTCCTACATGGCTGAGGTTTCAGTAGTGCAACAGGTTGGTAAAGATGGAAAGAGGGAGGGAAAACCATCCAACARACCCAGGGATTTATTGTTTATGCACCAAGAAATGCAGAGCCTTCTTAGCTTTGCAGCTGGGTGAGACATAGGGAAGCTGCTATAGGGAAAAGCAGCACTGAGAGCTGGGTGAGAGAGGCAAGCGGCCAACACAAACAATAACAACTTGGAGAGAGCTCTTCTGATATACATGGAAATCTAGCCAGTATCTTCAGGTAAAATGCTTCCAAAGACCCCCAGAAGATGCTTCTCTCACTCTCGATGTGTGCTGGGGCAGGGCTGGAGGAATTTGGTTGCAGCCCTGGTCTCTGTGAGGGGACTGCAAGAGAGCCCCGAGGATGTTATTGCAAAACAGACCTGAGGAGCTGTGCTGGACAAGCTGGGTTTGACAGGGCTGTGGGTTTCCCTAACTCCAAACCATCAGCCCAGGGTTAATCCAGMCCCAATTCCACACGGGAGCAGTGACACCAGATAGTGAGAGGTGAAAGGAGCAATAGGAGGAACCACCCAGGAGCCAAGGCACTGAGCCTCTTGGACATACCTTGCAGATCCCACTGCTGAGCAGCAAAATAAAACTGAAGACTCAAGACAAGAGGAATAAATATATTCCATGCCTAAGCAAGAGGTGAGACACACTGGAAATAATTTTTCATCTACTCTTCAGTGTAAGGAACTCCTAAGAATTAACTGCAATGAGAAGAGTCAACTTCAGAAGCAGTTTCTGGGGAAGGGGCATTTGGGAACCCATGGGTGAGGCACACAAAGCTTTTGAGCTCAAGGRAAACCTTGATGCCCAACTCCATGACTTGAGGAAAAAACAGAGTCAGAAGCRCCAGTATTCCCAGTGCCTCCTTCCCTAAGCCAGTAGCATGAGAGGGAACTAGAAATGTGACACGTTATTGCAATGCTTTCCAAACACAGCTGGACAACTCTGGCCCTCCAATCCCAAACCAAACCCATGGATCACGCCACACAGGCCATGTTTAACTCTTAATTGCATCTCTGTAAGGCTTGTATGGTTTGTAAATCCATTTGTTTCACCTTCTTACCCAATCTTGTAGCATGAAGAAGTAAATAGTGTTTATCTTGGAAAAGCAGAGGGAAGCCAAGACTCCACCTGCTTGCTCCCTCCTAGCAGGTAGTGCCACATCTTCCTGGCTTTGAAACTCTTGGACTGTCCCTGGTGTCTTTCAAAAGGAGGAAGGAGATAGAAAAAAAATTAGTTGGGTGGGGTTTGTGTCAGTGAGGTACCAGGACTCCAAAACGGTGAGGCTTGGAAGGGAGAAATCCAGGTGGTCGAGTAGGAGTGACCAGGGTGGCATAAACAGTGATTGGGAAATGCTGCTGTGGAAATGCAGAAGCTGTTTCTTGGCCCCTCTCTGCCCTGCCCTAGGACCGGACAGAGGTTGTGTGTGTCACTGAGTGATGCTCTGTGTTTTGAGTCTGCTGTTTCACCAGGTCAAACACCCTTTGTCCCCTGTGGTATTTCACAGTCACTGGGTCAGAAATGGCTGTGAGCAGAGGGACCCTGCTCATTGTCCATCATTTCTTCATCCCAGTTTTGGGGACAAAGCCAAGCTTCGCCTTGGGCAAACAGACTCTCCAGGATGGGCCACTCTGAAGCTGCATTCCAAATGAAATAAAGGAATCYMTGTGCCTGACAACACAGGGCAATAYCCCAAATAGGATCTGCCTCCWGTGGGATTAAASAGAACCAGGAGTCACCTCAGCTGCTCAGCCAGGACACAGCAGGAGCAGGCTGGCACATACCAGGAGGTTCTCTCACCTTCCCAAGGTGGAATATTTTAGCATCGAGCCAACACCAAACCATTTTCCTCACAGATTTTCTGCAATAACAAAGCTGTGACCTCGGGGCTGCCTCSTTCTGGGAATTCAGTGTATTCCTAACCCCCATACGTTTCTGATGTGCAAGTCCTTTCAAGAGAAAGACTTTGAGGAATTTGTTTCTGTGGGACAATGAATCACCCCAGAACCCAACATGCAGCTGTCAGACTTCAAGCACTGGCACAGACCTCGATGAGCAGTTCCATGGGCAGTGAGGAGCTGGTGCTGTGCTGGCAGGATCACCAGCTAGGAGCTGTGGATGTGCTGCTGCCCTCACAGATGCACTGCATGGCCAGAAATATCATCTCCTACACCTGAGAAAGAAAGGAAAATATTTTTTTTTTCTGAGAAAGAAAGGAAAATCCAYGTTCTGAATGCTTTTTCACACAGCCACAGCTTTGTTCCCCTAAGGCAGTGTCTGACTGCTCAAAATGCACCTCCCTGGCCGAGGGAGCTGTAGGTGGGAGGAGTTCAGCGCAAAAAGCTGTAGTCAGGAGGGGCTGAGTTCATTAAAGCTGCACACAGAGCCCTCTCCCTAAATTTCCTGCTCCAGCCATTCTTGTAGCAGTACCCAACACCTATTTAAAAGCCTCAGGAGAACTGGAAAGATCCCTGCAGGACCAGGAAGAACTTGAAACCTTGACACTGCTGATGCAAAAGGCACCTGGAAAAAAGCTGCTGCTTGCAAGATGTTGAGGTGGGGAGCGCTTGTGGGTGCTAGGAACAAAAAGCTCCTGGGAGATTTCCAGAATGAGCAGAATATCCCCTTCAGAGTCAGCAGGGATTACCTTAGGCTGTATCTTCTGCCACAGTTCCTGGAATAAAGGAGTGCTTTGGCTTCACATTTCCATCAATAGGAATGTCCCAACACCAAAGAATTCACCAGCCCTGCTTCCCCACAGCAGCCTAACCCTCAGTGCCTCCCGCTCCCATGGATAATTGGAAACAATCTCCGAAGCTGCAGGGTCCAAAGCAGGGAATCTGACCATTCCCCACAGCTACAGCAGGGGAAAAAAAAAGAYTGAGGGGAAAAAAGACACCAGTGTAGAAARCCAAAGTAGCAGTTCTATTTTGGATTGAAATCTTCTCATGTAAGGGTCTAATCTTAGCAAAAATCAGTTTGTGTTTCTCACCTTCATGGAAGCTGAGTTTTATTATTTGTGTCTGAACAGTCCGTGATTAATCAAGGAGTCTCTATGGCACCTCCCCAGTTTAGTGCACTGGAACAGGAGCAGAATAAAGGAGTGGCCCTGGCAGTGGTCTGGACTTGTCCATGCTGGTGCCCTGCTCACCTGTGTGTGCTCACCTGGGCTCTCACCTGCCTCTTGGCTGCTCACTGTTCCATCACATCGCAGTCACTGCATCCTCCAGCAGGGAGGGCTGACACGGCCCAGGGAGCACATTCCCATCCTGCCCTCCTCCCAGGACACTGATTTTAGTGGAGTTGACAACAGGATAAACATTTTTGCCACTGACATCAGTACCAAACTTTATTCTAAGTAGGAAAGAAAAGAGTGGGAATGATCCACCCTGGACCTCGCCTAACTAATTGATATTTCTGTGGCTTTGGCAGCTCCCAGAACGTGTCCCAACGCATTTATTTTTCTTTCTACCAGGAGCGTGACAGCTTATCCTGTGTTTAGCATTAACCAGAGAAACCTTTTCCCTGTTCCTGTGACAAACACCTCATCCAGGCACATGAGGTGACGTCACTGCCCAGGGCAGCTGTGTGAGCTGCCTTRCTGGTGATGAAATGGTGACTTCACCACGGTGACTTCACCGGGCCCTGGAGCAGCGCCTGGTGCTGCCAGCAAAGGCAGGGAGGGCACTGCAGGACAGACCTTCCTGCTCTGCTGCACCTCTGGGGCAGAGAGCACAAGGAGATGTTTGAGGTGATCACCTCCAGGTGAAAGGAGTTGGGGCAGGCATGGAGTCATTTCAGCCCAGAAAGATTCCTCACCCTTACCAGACCTTTAGGATCTGCCTGTTACACCAGTAAGACAGTTCAGTAGTAGATGACAGAATCCCAGAATGGTTTCAGTTGGAAGAAATTTTAAAGCTCATTGAAAGGAATGAGAGGGAGATGTCTTTACAAATTATAGGGTCTGTGGTAGATAAGGCTAGATAGTGACAGGTGAAAGGAGCAATGGGAGGAACCATAAATTCCATAGGAATTCCACCCATTGACACAGACTGTTACTGACCAAGGCTGTGCTAAATCCCTGGACTTGGAGAAAAAGAAGAGACACAAAGAATAAAAAGGAAGTGGGGGGGATGCACATTAGATGGGGAACTGTATTAGAGGATTCAGGAGGTCTATACCTCTCAAGTATCTCAGCCAGTGGGGAAAGAGAGAGGGAAATGTAGCCAGGAAATTGGGATAAAAAGGAGGCTTTGTCCCCTAACAGTTTGAGAGACTCCATGAAAATGTCCCATGGCCTCTCCCTTTATTTGAATAAAGTCACAGGATTCCTCTGTCTCCCTTTTGGACATAAACCTCTGGTGTTTGTGGATTAATTTTCCTAACATCACCCAGTTCCACTCCTGCCATGGACAGGAACACTTTCCGCTACCCCAGGCTGCTCC